CCTCAATCCCAACTTTACCTCCCTCTCATGTATACTCAGTCTCAATCTTGCAGCACATTAGGATCTGCCTGCGGGCTAGCCAAGTACCAGTGAAAGCCGTTGGTTCAATTCACTGACACAGGATGCCATATCTGCCCATATCTCACCTTATCACCAATGAGAAAGAGACATAAGCAAACCTAGCAATGAGGGAGTGGGTGGAGTTGAGAGTACGACGATGACAACTTGCATTTATACAGCGCCCTTCATGTGGGGTAACACTTAGGAGCGCTTAACAGTGGAGGAGCTTGACGCCATGCCAGGGACTGTAGATGGAGTTGAAGATGATATCAAGCAGCTGTGTAGGACAGATGAGCACATAACATAATAATAATAATAATCCTTGCATTTGATATAGCGCTTTTCACGTTGGGAGGACGTCCCAAAGTGCTTCACAGAACACACTGTAAAGTGAATTGACTGTATATTTGTGGGCAAACGCGGCAGCCAATTGCGCACAGCAATGTCCCACAAACAGTCGTAGGTTGAAAATGACCAATTTATTATTGTTTTGGGTTTTGGAGGGATTATTATTAGGCTCTGTGTGGAGTAAGGAAACTTGCCCAAGGTTTCGCCCTCTGCCTGGAATTGAACTCAGGTCTCTCGCTTGCAAAGCGAGTGCTCTAACCACTGAGCTACAGGATTCCATAGCACATGGACGACATAGCAAAGAACTCCTGAACGAGCTGTGTATGAGGTATGGAAGATATTTAGTTGAGAGCTGTAAAAGATACTTTCCTTTGATGAAGATTGCACACAATAGGTAAGTTATGGCTCTGAAGCTTTGAGGGTAATTACTCGATGGTAAATACAATGCCGTTCGTTGACAAATAAAATATTTTTCAACCCAATTTGATACCATCTGAAATCCAACATTCAGCAACAAGTCAGGCATTTTGATTCTTTTTTAACATCTGATTGTTTTGAAGCAGTCCTTTGTTGAAGAATACCTTCTAGATGTTAATCATCAGAAAAACATTTACAGTGTTCACTCTGCAGCTTGAAATCAATGAAAATCCACCGACTAATTCTTATCAGACTCCGAAGCAAAACAGATGCAAGAAAACAATAATCTTATCTTAATAATGTGGAACGATGAGCACCCACCATTATAGGCACACTGCAAAGTTCTGATATGATAATCATTTCATCAGTTATTCTGCATATTCAAATAATAATCGTGAAGCTTCCGTTTTAACAATTAGTAGGGAATAAGGTAACACTGCTCAAATAAAATGGCATGAAATGTGGTCACAATTCAAACACTGATACACACGGCACAAACCTAGGAATAGATGTTCAGAATACGTAAGCAAAAGAAGAGAGGTACATTTTTAAGGTTACTTTGCCAAGCAGCTCCTGCTGTTTCTCGGCAAATGGGCGTGATGCATGAGATCGAGTTCTTAAGAGTCCTTGTTCTAAGTACTGCATTTAGGCTTCCCAAACTCTACAATAAGGGAACAACACCCATCCTTCGAATCAAACGTTAAACCGAGATGCTGTCTCCAGCTCAGCTGGACATTAAAGATCCCATGGCACCATTCGAAAAGAGAAGGGAGTTTCTCCTGGTGTCCTGGTCAGCAATCTCTCAAAATAAGATTTGGTCATTCATTTCATGGCTGTTTGTGGGACATCGCTGTGTGCAAATCGGCTGCAGCAATCACCTAGAAAATACGTAGCCACGCCATGTCCTGTGAAGAGCTTGGGGATATCTTCTTGAAGTTATAGGTGCTACACCAAATTCAAGGATTATTATTAAAAAAGCAAGGTTCATTAATATTAACAATGGCCTTCGTTCCATCTCTATCATGCATGTAAGGCTTTATCAGGCAGTTCTGCTTTTACTATCTCTATCGAGTGGCAAAGGCCTGGCAAAATTAGTTTCACTAAGAGTCAGGTTAGCATTTAAGATGGGTATTTTATACATGGATCCAGGGATTGAATGCTGGAACTGCCGGGCTACCTGTTGAGGTACAAAAATTTTATAAAATTTGCATTTACAGGAATAGTTGGGCAAAATTCCATGCAAGGCAGAGGACATACAGCATTGTGTTAACACATGTGGGACCAGGTTGTGAATACATCCCAGATTGGTGGATGAAAATTGTATGTCTCTGTTAGTTGCAATGGTGATATTTGGGAGGACTTAGCCCAGTTAGAAAATATTCAACAATAAGCAGCATATTCAGAATTTCAAGATAAAGATTTCCATTTCTTTGAGAATTTTGCTCCATTCAATATAGCACCTCAGTAACAGAGGGAAAAGGCATCAGCATCAATCTCCAAACGTCCAGGTTACATCATGCCTAATGGTCAAGCAACACCTTTGTCAAGCTTTGCTAGCCTTAGCCTTGCAACACTCATGTGGTGGAGTTGGAGAAGCCCTATGCACTACTGATACTGCACTGGAGATATCTATGCAGCGTTTGAGAAGCCGTGAACCAAGGATGCAGTGCTGCACAGGTCCATGCACCAGAATGCCTTGGCTTTGCTGGTTAGATGGAAAAAACATACATTCCAGGGGTAAATGCAGGAGGGATAGGAAAATAATATCACGTACATTTATTACATCCTTGTACTGAAACATTAAATGGGATCGAATAGCCTTCACATGCGAGAAACATGAATGATATTAGTAATGCTGATGACTGATGCCCCAAAGCAAGGATTGTAGAAAACAGATGACGATGTATTGGGAAATATTGACTGCAGTTTGGGGGCCACATGGTAAATTGGCTCCCGCCCGCGGGCTGTACATTCAAATCCTGTTTACATGTAATGGGCATGAATGGATGGGCAAAAAAGTGGCATCTAGCAGAGTGAGAATATCATTATCCCTAACCAGCAAAGCCCATTTCCACTTTTCAATCATGAAATGACACCTAACAGTGTTCCAGAGGCACTCTGTGATTCATTTTGATGAATAGTCCAAACAATGCCAGCTATCTGCTGCTGAATAAATATTCAAATAGTTAATTCACAGGGAAATTTGATGCAGCCCAAAATTCAATGGTTGTTTCCTCCAACAGTAAAAATGAAAGCTTTTTTGGATTAGCTGATTGAGTTGGTGAAGCCATTTACCTTAAGAGAAACAGCTATACAGATTGGAAGATCCAATGATTGATTCAAGGTCTGTGTTGAATTAGCTGAGCTCAGCCAGGCTGACAGTGGGTACACCATAATTGGTGTCAGCGCCCTTTTTTTTGTCTAGGGAGAGAATTTTCGGCCAATGTCTCAAATCTTGATTATTATCCAGTGTGGATGTCAGGTGAGGACAAGATCAAGACACCCTGTCAACCCTTGCTGCCAACTCTCACAGGTGAAGAATGTCTACTTGGCCAAAGTCCTCTAATAATTTAACAGCAGTCAATAGTTTTCCCCGCTCTCTCCTAAAGGCATGGATTCACGCTGAGATACACCTCCACAGGCACTGATTCTCTCCAACGTTTCAATCAAAGGCCATTCTATACATGCAACGTAAAGTTTCAGAGGGCGATCAACTATGGGTAGGAGAGATGGAGAAGAGGGAAGGGATAGCACAGCTAAGCCTGATCCTGTTCTCATTATATCTGTAAGTGAATATGTCTGGCAAGGGTCACCGATAGCGTTCAGGAGAGGTAACCTTGCTGGTTCTATTCCTCTCTTAATCCTGCTGCTGCTCAGAATGAGAGCAGCTCACTGCTTTATGGACAAGCTGTTGTAGCTGCACCAAAGTTTGTGATGCTGTAATATCCTAACAGGAACTCTTCTACAGAGAGAGCTGTGGCCGGTCTGTAAATTGCTGGAAGAAAATGCAGTAAAGCCAACTGTGCGTGTTTACACTATAATAATGAATCACCTACCTGTTAACACTGGGCTCTTTAGGATAATTTATTAGCAAATGTATTCTAGTTCCAAGTCAATATATAGAAACCAAACTTTTGTTACATTTAAGATCTAATACATAAACATACATAATCAGAGCTTACAAGATAACAAATGTGGAATGGGACAAAACAATCTTAAACGGACAGTTCTGACAAAATAGTCTTAAAATCTTCATTTCATTCAATATTTTCACATTATTTCTGTTATGGCAGAAATAAAGATTATTCCAAAAAATTGCTTTATAGTAAAACTAAATAATGGTCTTTAAAAAACACAAACCAAAACGCTTCAAACAGATCAAATGGTAGCTTTTAAAAGGAAAAGCGACAGGAAGGAAAAACATTAATTTTAAGATGAAAGATTTTAATACAATGGAACTTTAAAGTGAAGACTTTGTGCCTTCAAGATCCAATTCATTGCCCAGTTCATTCCAATCAATCTTTTATTCCTCCATATCTTAATGTAACATGACATAGGTAACAAATTGGAAACTGATCTGAAATGTAACTCACTGGCTGATGTATCATCTTGAGAAAATATTAAAAGGACATTGCCTTCATGAAAAGGTATGTGGCAAACCTTTTCCCTTGAGAGCTGGAAGGGAGTGGCAAAACCACAACAGCTAATGGATCTTTTAACATGATTATATTATGCTGAGGTGATAATTTTTCCATCATCTTGTTTCCATCAGCATATTTTTAAAGGAATAGAAGAAATGTGTCAAACACTTGTCACGAAGATGATAGCCCTTCAAAAAAAATGTATCTGATTTTCTTTACAAGTTCAGTTTACCAAAGAATTTAAGTCACAGAATCTCAGCATAAACTGCAAAATCTGTAAACATACTTACTTTGGATAAAAAAATCTTGGAAACTTACTTCTGAATTTGAAACATTTCCAGTTAAACATTCCTTTGTATTTAGACAATGCAGATTGACTTTGTGAGAAGCACTGCACTGTGAAAGACTGAACTTAAATCAACTTTCATTCTGCGACGTGCCAAATTTATAACATTTGAGAGCGCAATATCGCTTTAAAAAAACGAGACGTGAAATGAAAGAACGATTAAATAAGACAGGTAATAAAATTCTTACCTTCAGTGAATCAAAGCAGGCAATAACTCGACCGTTTTCAACATGGCAACTTCGTGAAGGATGAGCAAACTTGCATTCCGCATCAGACCGAGAACAAGTCCCTCTCTGGTATTCTCTACACACTTCTAACGTCAGCCATTTTGTGTCACGGACCATAGAAACATTCACAGCCATATTAGAAAACTGAAAGGATATGTGGGTAACTGAATCCCTCTTTTTTAAGAACAGTTCTAGTTTAGAAAAGTGTATAAAAGTAAGTTAAAATTATAACTTAACAAATAAATTTGTTCCTTTGGTAAAAAATATATTTCTTTTCAGCACTTAGGTTTCATTTAGTGAGATTGCTCTGCAGAAACATGACATCAGCCTAAAGCCAACTTTAAATTAAAAACTCATCACGCGATGATCGGGCATCAATTAATGGGGCAGACCCTTTAGATGTGCATTGGCAGAAAAATCTAGCCTTTTGTACCAAGTGACAAAGTTACTCGTAGGTAACAGCAGCCTGTCGGTGGAATTCCGTGCTCTTCAGTTACTGGTTTTGATTATTCTGGCGTAACCGTATGCTTCTGGCACTGCTTCAGCTTACAGTTAAGCTTCACTCCTCTTGAGGGAAATTTTTCTTCTATTCCCAGGTCTCTGCATTAACTGCTCACAGGCGATTTGAAAAACAAGGACGATGATGAAGTAGAGGGGAAAAAATTGAATACTTGCTGTGGAACGTCAAAAGGCTGAAAAACTGAGTGTGCAGCACAAGGATAAAGGTGATCTGTCGTCTCTATAAGAACTGCTGTAAGCAACGGCAAAAGAAAAAAAAAGCACACAGACAGCCCTAGATAGAAATCCAAGCAGCAGAATCTTCAGGAAAGGCACTTTTCAGCAACCTGTGGGAAAAGAAAACAAGATATAAGAGAAGGGGGAAAAAAAACAGACACAAAGACATTAAACCTTTCCTTTACAATGTTAAATTTGCACAACTTGAGCAATATGCCACGAAACATTCAGATACTGACAGTGCAGCATAGTGCAGTCAGCCATTGTAGATTAAAAAAGGGCCATTTCCCCTCCTGAAGCTGCGCATGGTAAAGGGAAGAACCAATTGAAATTAGCTTTGCAGTGAGAGCCTGGGCACTTGCCCAATAAAAAGGATTGTCTCATATTGATTCACTCTGGCAGACATTCATTGCTATGCCCACTGCACAGAAAATGCCTCAGTCTGATGCGGCTGCTTCTGCTGCATCAGGGAGATGTACAGTACAGTGGAAGGTTCAAATCCTCCCTGTTTTCGTGGTGTAAATAGATCTGCCTGAGCGGCAATGCTCACTCTTCCCTTACAACCGTACGCGCTCTTCAAAACGGTTAAATCTCAGAATCACATCAGCTGCAGCTGGGAAAAAGAGTTTGCTCCGTGCGGTTCCGTAAAATGTCTAACTGTTTATGGCTGAATGCCACGATCAGAGTGCAGCCAGACAGTGTTGAGATGTAAAATGTAACAGGGTGTGGTAAGCAAACAATGCAGTGGCTACTGCAAAAAAAGAGGCAAAATAAAGATCTTCTTCCTGCTCATAATTAACAAGATGCATCAAATTCAAGGCGGACAGTATTACACGTCGAGCTGTGTAGACATACAAATAATTGGCTATGCCAGTCAGTCAGATAAAGAAAATGCAGCATAGCAATTCACTGCAGCCTTATATTCACAGCCATGCATCTTGAAATACAAGCACGATTTATTTCAGGGAATGAGGGTATTATTTTGATGTTAAAAAAATTAAATCATATTTAATTGTAAATCCAGTAACACCTACGACTGCTAACTGGTCCAAAATAAAGCATCGTTGACGGGAATTCTTTTCAGACTGATCTGATTGCCGTGCACAGATATGGTAAAGAACTGAGCTGCAGCCAAGTGTACACAAAGGGAAACGGTGGAATTCCCAGGCTGTTCCACAAGTGAGGAGGACCTGGTAATTCATCACTGACTTGTAAAGATCCATCTAATGACTGCAGTAGGTGGGGTATTCCTCAGATTCCCCCATTCTCTGATATGTTTGTTCAATATGAAATAGAAAAACATGCAAAATATTTTTGTTTACTTTTTTATCATTTTCTATAAAGTGAGCATTTAGCAGGGGATGGGGCCGGTGATTTTTTTTTACTTCCCATGATGACAAGCACCAATTCCCCAGCACCCTCAAGCATGGGGGAGAGGATTTGTGATGACTGCCTTTGTACACAGGAACACTCAGCAGCGTGTATTTTAAAAATGGTAGTTTCAGAGCTTCATATTCAATTACAGAAATATGAAAGATAACAATTTATTAATTATTATTAATAATAATAATAATAATCTGATATGAGTAAATAGTAAAACAGAATTAACAAGATGTTACTTCTTAAAACATCGGGAGACTTGGCAAGGCAAAGAGATGGGAGATTATGCGGTTTAAAATGTGGCATGTGATGTGATTGAATTATTATTGCTGGTGAAGATTATCAGCACTTTGAGGCATCCTCCTGACATGCAATGTAAATGTAAATTGTATCACATTACACTCTGCATTATTTGCAATGTTTTCCATTTTAAACTGAGTCAGACACAGTAACCTGAACAGGGATTCAGGAGAGCTACACAGCTGTGAGGAATGTAACTGTGGGAAGGGTGGATGGAGTATGGCTGAACATGACCCAGCAAGTTTCAAAAGTACTTCAGGGTAAAACCTAGAACAAAAAAAGGGCATTTAACCCATCAAACCCATTCCTACCGCAAGCCACACAAATCTCATCATATTACTGACTCCACACCTTCAATTTCCTGGAGAAAGTTCTGCATTGATGCCCAAAGGCAAACAATTGAAATGTCTAGAATATTTACTAGTCTTCCACACCACTAATATCCAAGCCCAACTCTCTCACTCTCACCACACGTTCAGCAATTTGGAAACCAATATGTGATGTGGAGCACTTGCTCTTCTTAGGCTGTCCCTATCCATGTAACATCCAATTCTGCCCCAACCAGAAAATGATCCAGTTCCAATTTTGAAACAGTTAATCAGCACAGCATCAGCTGGTTGTACTGACAGTCTTGTTTTATATAAACATTAATTTGCAAGGGGGGAAAAAACAATGTCTTCAAATCTCACTTGACATTAGCGAAACTTAAACCTATGCCTCCATTTTGATAATCATGGCAAGTAACCAGCAGATCAAAATCATCTATTCCTCTTAGCATCTTAAAAGACCTAAACCATGCTCAACTCAATCTTCTGTTCTCCAGTGAACGCAAGTTCGGCTCTGAAACCTTTCTGAAACTGAGTTCCACAACAATCCTTGTGCTCTTCTCTGAATCTTCTACAAAGCATTAAGTTTGTAAGGTGTCCGAAATTCAATACAGAGGGATTCCCTGAAGTCTGGTAAATTTGGTGTGGATGGTGGGAGCTTATAAATAGATATGCAGTGAAATGTCTTTTGTTTCAAATGAAGCCTCACCAGTGATCTGCTCAAGGTTAGAACGTTTTGACTTGTACGCAAATGCCCTCAAAATGTATCCTAGTATTTGATGAGTTTTATTGACTGGAACTTCACAATAGCTGGAATCTGTCAGTGAGTGATCAATAAAGAGACATATCAGTCCGCAATTTAGTAGCTGAGACTTACAAATCAGGGAGCTACAAACACAGGCGTCATACCACTCGTGTTTGAGGGGTAATGTAAAGGGAGGGGCAAAGAACGATCAGAGAGCAGAAGCTGGCAGAGGAAGCCATCACCGGCGACGCTTGAAAGAGGATTAGCTACAGGAGACTTAACGTTAGCTGCATGGGCAATATGATGAGACCAGAGGCATGTGTGAGAGGGGAGATACCCAGAGAGGCGAGCAAGATGTTTTACCCACTCTTTATTACACTCGGTCATGATTGGAAACAATCTCAATAAAAAATTCAAGTATACAGCTCCATAACCACGATATAGAAAACAAGTTATAGTGAGCACCAATTTATAGAAGCCATTTCAGATTTGGAGCTATAAGCAGTGCAAATTGCACAAGAGGTTGTTTGAATTTGGTGAATGTTACAGGGAGAGTCAGTATAATATACAGTAGATCTCTGTTACACTTTGCAGGATACATTATAAGGTTGGGAGTAAATAAAATTTCAGCCGGCTTTATAACAGCAATTAAGATCAGCCGCTGGCTATGACAGATTTCAATGACGTGATGTTGGGCTTTTGAAATTTTGTTGGAATCCACAACGCAATTGTGGTAAATCTGCATTCTAATGGAGTATGTTATAACACTGTTCAAATGTATGAACATCCTCCATTTTAGAAATAGATTTTACTCTTTCACAATTTCAATGCTTGTCTGTTTGTGGGATATTGCTGTGCGCACGTTGGCTACTGTCTCACCTACAAAGTATACAGTCAATGCACAATACAGTATAATATGTGAAGTACTTTGAGGTGACCTTCTGACGTGAAAGGCACTATCTTTTTTAATTATTTGACTAACAATGCATTTGGAGAGGGATAAATTCTTAAATACAAGTTGATCAAGTGAAACCAATGTCGCATGACAAGTACAATGCACTTGTCTTTGTTTGGGATATTTTGAAAAAATGTTACCAACTGTTCCTCATGTAGGACAATTGGTCATTTGAATGCCAAGGTGAATGTGAGTGGGGTATCGCTGCGCTCAAATTGGCTGCTGAGGTTCACCTACAGATACACAGTCACTACATTTTACAACACAGCCTGTGAAGCACTTTGAGAATAATAATAATCCTTGCATTTTATATAGCGCTTTTCACGTCTTCTAGACGTCTCAAAGCACTTCACAGAATAGACTGTAAAGTGAATTGACTCTACATTTGTGGGCGAAATGTGGCAGCAAATTGCACACAGCAGTGTCCCACAAACAGTCGGGGATTGAAATGACCAAATTTTTTTTTTGAGGGATTATTATCAGGCGTGTGGAGTAAGGAAACTTGCCCAAGGTTTCACCCTGCTGCGAATCGAACCCAGGTCTCTTACTTGCAAAACGAGTGCTCTAACTGCTGAGCTACAGGACCAAACACAAGGATTATTATTATAAATGCTATTTTTTTCCCTCAAATTATGGCATTTCCTCACAACATGAAATCTACTGGCTTAATGAGTGAAAAAGGTACCAGCTACCCAGAGTTATTGAGTGGTTGTCTTCTGAATACAAAAACAACATGCACTTAAACAGCGCTCTCCATGCAGGGTAGCGTCTCATCCTATTTACTCCATAAAAGCACTCGCAAGGATTCTGCACTTTTGATCACCTTGGGATTTTTACTGCACTGGTGATGCAGCAATATCCAGTGATATGGGTTCGGCGGTTCTGTGGTCTGGACTCAGTATGCAGATCCACACAAGGGAATGGATGGAGATGCTAACTTTATAATGTTGGCTCACAGCAGAGCAGATCTATGCCTCTGCTAAATCAGCCTGTCGCTCAAACAGTAACAAAGAAATTTTTGATTTAAAATCCACCTAGAAGTGCCAGTAGGCAGCAACACTGGGAAAAAGTAGAAGATTAAAGCCCATCTCTGGATGATAATATCATACATACACCACTGAGTTGGCATTGGCAAAACACTTTGGGTTTGCTTTGCTCTATTGATTAAGCGCTCCGAGACACCATCTGGTGTGACGGGCACTATATAAATGCAAGTTGTTGCTGTTGATGATGATGATTTGTAAATGTCACCTGATATTGCTCGTCATCTAAAGGTTGGATTTCAATCGTTCAACAAGATAAATGGATCTTACATGGAGCTGGCGGTTACTGTTGATGCTCCATTACTCATGTAGCTCCATGTCGCGTTATGTAAAACATAGAGTAATCAACAAGTCCCAAGGC